GCACGCACACGCGCCCGGCGTGAGTTTTAAGCCACTGGGTCCGGGACACGAACCGCGGTTGACTACGTGGTAGTCCAGCGACATAGCCATTACGCTAACTGCTGGTTCCCAAAGTGCACAAATCTTAAGAATTTATCTAAGGGACCAGCAGTTAGCGTAATGGCTGTTGCTGAACTCCTATGTAGTCGATCACGGTTCAAGTCCCAGACCTGGTGGCTTAAACTTACGCTGGGCACGTGTGCGTGCGTGCCCAAGATCCCGATAGGAGAATGAAGGAGAAGGGATTGTGGCGTGGCCATCCTACCTGGGGGGTGATTTCTTGTTTTTTTTTGTCTCTCTGTCTCTCTTTCTGTCTTTCTGGTGAGTGCCCTATAGCAAAAACCTCTACAAAAAAAAAAAAGAATTTATTTGATGAATGTATAACCACCCAAGTCAAATATCGAACATTTCCATAATCCCAGCAATTTTTCTTATGCCCCTTTCTATTATAATCAATTCTCTTCTCCACAAACTAACTACTTTTTGGCATCTTATCGCCCTTTGCACAGTATTTTTAAATTTCTGAGTTTAATGCCTAAGGGGCATCCTCCACTGTCCTTTGCACAGCCTGCTTCTGCTCTTACCTGCCTGGCTCCTTCCTCCAGACATTTGAGTTGATGACCCACACTGGATGCTCCCCAATGTCTTCCCAGGTCTCTAAGTTTATGAATCTAACTGTGAAGGGGCCTCTCAAGGAGCATCCTTAATCTGTGCCCTAACTAGCCCTAGTAGCAACTCTTTGCTGTCCAGAGGAGCCTGATTCCCTGTGCCTCTCAGGCTAAACATGAGGCAGAGGACGTGGGTCCCCCAGTGGGAGCAGACAGGGAAGTTGAGGAGAGTCCAGGAGTGAGAGTGGACACACCACCTGTTTTCTGCCTATTTCTGACACATGTTCTAACACTTGCAAATGTCCCCACTGTAGGAGTCCTGCTTCTCTAAGATACAAGGTAGAAAGTTTGTTAGAAGCCTTCGGGTTCACTACTCGGGGCACCAGGACAGGACTCTGGGTTGCAGGTGCCAAACATGAGGAAAAGCATGCACGAGCATGCACTTTTCAAGGGAGGCTAGTGGCAAGAGCTTCTGACATGCCCTGGGTGTCAGCTGTGAGTTCCCGGTGCAGTAGTGGCATTTCTCCCGCTGCAGTGGCGCTCAAGGGGAGGTGGGCTCCTGGCAACGCTTAACAGCAGCAGTGAGGGCTCTGTGGCAGCAGCAGCTTCCTCAGGCCGCTTCTGCAGCATGACTGTGGGTATATACAGTTCCTGGAAGCTTCGCCGCAGGCCTGGTTCTCTGGCCCTGTCAACATATCCTTTTAGTAAATGCATCCACTTCTGCTGAATCAGGTCAGAAGCAGCTTTGGCTGCTTGAGATCAGGACTAGTGATGAGCTTGGGAGCTGTGGGTCAGAGAATCATTCATAAGCAGTGTTTCCTGAGAAGGGCTGAGTGAGCCCAGATGAGCCTGGGAGAGGCTCAGTTTCTTCAATGGGAGAAATGGAGCACAAGCATCTTCAGAGCAGAGAGAAGCCAATCTTTGCAGATTCCTTCTGCACACAGGACATCCACAGACCTAGCTATCAGTAAGGCTGGGTGGGAAGACTGCCCCCAGGCAAACAGCTCAGGTGTCAACTACTAGATACCGGCGTGGCTTCTGTGCTCAGTGAACCAACCCAGGTTATGTCAAGTCAGCCTTGGGAGAAGCTATTTCTGCTTCGGTCACATTCTATGGCCCTGCTGGTGGGAATGCTGCATGCCTGGCTGATAGTGCCCTGCAAGACAAAACAAGCCACTGACAACCCAGTGCCCACATCCAGTGGGTCAGGGTGGACACTGAGGGTCTCTAAGCACCCGATACCACAGTGACGCAGGCCTAATGTTCTAACCACGTAATTACAACAGGCCCATTCCATTTAATTTTTATAATAGGCCCGTGAGGTACATATTGATTTTTTTTTTTTTTTCTGATGAGAAAAACACAGTTCAAGTTGTCTACCTGGGCCAGCAGGTGGTGTGGAGGTTAAGGCAGCTGGATCCAGCATGGCCAACTGGGCAGTAGGAGTCCCGGACCTACCAGCTTAAAAATCACACCAAGCACATGTGTGTGCATACCCAAGATCCCAAGAGGAGAATGGTGAAGAAGGGATTGTGGCATGGCCATTCCTTCTGAGGGGGATTTCTCACATTCTTTCTCCCTCTCTTCCTTCCTCTTTTTCTAGTAAGTGTACATGCCCTATAGCAAACTACAAAACACAATATATAATAATAATAATAATAATAATAATGAAATAAGTTGTCTATTTAAGGTCATACAGATAGTAATTTCTTGGGACATTACAGACCCTCAAATACGGTTTGAATGAGGCGAAGTGGCAGGAGGGAAACGCTTGATTTGGTCCAACCCCTAAGCCCACACCCTGCACACTGCAACACTCTACTACGTGAAGGTAGGTGTGGGCTGGAAAGTGGCCAGACCACTTTCCCCTTGTTTCAGTCATTACTTCCAATCACCAGCTCCGCCAAGGCTCCCAGCTCCTGCAGAGCTAACGACAGTCCCACCTGCACTGTAAAGTTCCAGCCTGTCAGCCGTGCTCAGGGGTGGACTCTCACCAACATACGTTTTCACAATGTCGCTTTTACCTGTTGTCTGCAGTCTCACGTGGCAGTCACCACTGTTCTGTGAACCAGGTATTAGCATGATCACTTATTATGACTAGCCCATAGGCAGGAAATGTGTGAATAGCACCTGAAATTCAGCGCTTGGATCTTATGCTTAAAGTATGTTACAGTTAGACTGAGCCAAACACAAGGGTCTTATAGGGGGGTATTCAAAAAGTTCATGGGAAATGCATATTATGAAAAAAGCATGAATAATTAAAAAACATTTTTTTACTTAACAAAAAGTTTAT